CAGGCAAGCAAGCAGCTTATAGCAAGCCGCAATACATGCTCTGATTAAAACTAGTACAATGATTCAATTTTCGAGTGAAATTTGGCCGGCCTGTCTTCACACAGATCTTCGGGATGAACATCCCGATGTAAAACTAGTCGTTACAGGCTGGGGCAGTACCGTACCAGAAGGTTTGTTCTGAAGGAAAAGAGTAATTTCATTTACTTTTATTCAAAAAACGGTTTTTTTCTTCAAAGGGACGGCATCTCATAGGTCAAACGATTTGCTAAAAGCCCAACTTCAGACAGTTCCACTCACGGAATGCAATGAATTGTTTAAAGAATATCAACAATTTACGAAGGAACCGGGTCTTCAAAATATTGGTCAAAGTCAATATTGCGCATACGATCCAAATGGAAAGAATGATAGTTGCCAGGGTGACTCCGGTGGACCTCTTCATATTAGTAATCCATTGCAGGCATCAGTAACGATTGTTGGCGTCGTTTCATATGGCATTGGTTGCGCTGCATTACCGGGAATTTACACAAGAGTCGCATACTATTTGGATTGGATTGAACCGATCGTGTGGCCGAACGGGGTTATTCCGAAACCAACAAATTCATTATATAGAGAGATTTAAGAATGTTATGCCTTAGTTGTTAGTTAAAAACATGACATCTGGACGGATTGGTTTTATTTTTCATGAAATATGTTTATAAAATAATTTGAATAAAAAAACAATAAAGATTTTTGTTATTTTTTTAAAGTTTAATCGTTTTTTATGAAATGACAACACATTTTACTCGTTGGTTTTATTATTGTTTGAAATTTATGAAATTCGGAAAAACCCAGTGATATGAAATTACAACAAGAATAATAATCGTCGAAAAGGAAACCTTACGATTGCCAGCAAATTCACGTCATAGTCCATTTAAAATTCGTGATAAGTGATACGAGCTTTTTTTTAAATCAGAGACTGTTTGTCAAAGCAACATATGTGAGTGTTATGAGGAGCCGGAGGCACAGTGAGGTCAGTTCCTCTGGTCAGTGAGGAACAAAATATTAATTTTTAATATTTTGCTCTGCCGTCATATTTTCTGACCAGGGGTCCGAGAAATTTGATTACCCGCTCTGGAGAATGGTTTTAAATTTTACCTCTTTTTCAATTCAGTACAAAAACTTTCTTCATAATTAAATAATTTCAATTCGTTGAATTAAGTAGTTTACTTTTTTTTCAAATATGACTCGTTTCTTTTTTATTTTTAAAATTTTACCAAATTTCATCGAAAAAGGGGAACAACAAAACTAACATCATTTCTTAATCTTTATTAAAACGAATCATTGATTCGTTGAATTTGTGAGCTGATTAAATTGTTGATGCCAAATAATCTTCCCAGATAATAGTAAAGTAAAGCAAGTAGCGTGTAGTAAATGGCAAGCACGAACAAATGAGCAATGTGAAATTTACGCATGCGCCGACGCGCAGGTTCGAAATCTTCAATCGTTTCGTTGCCAATGTAACGAAGCAATCCCAAATTATAGTTGTAACAATATGCATCCCATTGGAAGTTTCGGACGTCACTGGGAAAGTAGGCTTTATCATGGTCACACATTCTGCACACAAAAAAGAACATTTATTATCGAAAACGTGATTGAAATGGCTCTGGTAAGAGCGGCTTCTATAATTTTCTCCATGCCATTACTAAAAATGATCAATCGGTTACCTTTCATAAACGGCGTACATATTTTTATTGCAAAATGTCCATTGTTGCGTCATGAAATATCGTAATTTCACCTGGAAATGAAAGAAATAATTTTTAAATGAATTGCTTGAAGTGTCTGGGTTTTATCAAAAAATGATATCGTACCATAAAAAGATGTGTTTTGCGATACAGTGGCATTAGACGACGCGGATTCTTTGTGAATTTCAAAACAAAATCGAAGATTAAACCAGGAATCGCATGATACAATATTACCAAAAAGAACTCCATGATCCGGTAACGAGTTGTATTGGTCAAATGGCACCAGATACTCTTTGTGGTTGGATACATAATCAACATATCACGCATGGTATCACTGATATGACCTTAAAGTAAAACAATTTTGGTATATTTTGTTGAGTTTCTTCAGTTAGTATGCAACAATAGCAGAAATTTGTCCGGTAATATTCATCCGCGGCGGATAAGACGCAGTCTTAGGAGCCGGACAAATTTCATAATTTTGAACCATTTCTCATCATTTCCGCGTCCAAAGATATTAATACTGTTTAATAACACAAATAATAATAATACGTTGGTCATCGAAATGAAGTGAAAATATGAAAAGGGAATAAAAGACCGAACGAGTGCGAGTAAGGAGACAAATTTCAAGCAGACAATTTACACGGAACTATTTTAGATTCGTCCGCTACATAGTTCGGCGGACAAAACTAAGGTTTGAATTGATATTATTTCTCCTCTCTCTCGGTGAGTCTTTTTCATATAATCGATCGAAAGTTAACAAATCGCGTGCAAAATTCTTTAATATAAAATCTGTTGTCCATCTCTGCCCATATAAATCATTTGCGGAGTAATTTGGACGATGGCGGGACTGTGCGGAGTTTGGCGGAGATGACATACAAACTCTGTGTGTGCGAGGGTAACAGCACTTCTATGTGTATCATTCTTACGCAGATGATTAGTACCTTAGCTGCGTGTACGGCTACTAAGATGTTCGTTTGGACAAAATAAATCTATGAATAGCAAAGAATGCTGTTGCACTCGTATACACAGCATTTGCATACTATCTCCGCCGAACTCCACACAGTCCCGCCATCGACAAAATTACTCCGCAAATGAGTTATATGGGTGGACAGAGACTTTTTGCATCATTTACCCCAAGTAACTTCATCATCTTTTGACGTCACATTATATACTTTGGACTCTATCTCCGTCAACTGATCAGAATTGGCGTCGCTAACTATTCCACCACTTTTGCTTACATCTGCGATAGCTTCCTTTGTTGAATTCAATAATTTTCTAGGAGAAAAGTGATGGAAAATGATTTTTTCATCGCGGTTTTTTACATAGAAATCACTTTTTGATATTAATTTACAATTCATTGTATCGATCCCAAATGGCAGCCAATGTAGAATTTGTTACAAAGTCCGCACAAATTATATCACCCTTTAGATCCCGATCGAATACCATAATTCGTAAGAAACCAAGACCACATGCCACCAACATTCCATTCAATCCGTATATATTCTGAAAATATACATTATTTTATTCGATAAAAATGAATTGAAAACGCCGATTTTTGGTTCTCACATTGCACCAGGCTGGAATCGGATCTTCATGTGTGGCAATTACTAAATTTTGAACAAAATTGGTAAATAGGTTTTTCGCATTTAAAAATACATTGTTTAATTCAAAACTTTGAATTTCAAACAGAAGACTCAAAACTGTGAAAAAGACTTATTACCAATTGAGGGCCGAATAACGACAATCGGAATACGCTGTCCATACTGGCGCATTAATTCCTCAGAAAGAGCCTAAAATTCATGGCCGACATATCCGAATTGATAAAAAAAGAAGGAGAATATTGAAGAAAAAATGGGTGAAGATTTAATGAAAAATACAAAACAAATTCTCGCAAAAAAGTACCTTTGAAAATGAGTAGGTGTTTGGCCATGGCCAAACAAAACTTTCGGTGATAATGTCCAGAACTGATTCATCTTCATTATGATCTTCAAAGTGTTCAGCGATTCTGATCATATCCTCTGGATCAATGGGTGCTTCATAGAATTTTTCTTCAATGTATTTTCGGACACAATGCGAAAATGCGGTGGAAATATACGCAAACATTTCCAAATGTTTACATTCTTCGGCCAACTTAAGCAGTTCACGTGTACCACGTAGATTTACCAAACTTAACTCTTTCAATGTATTATCAAAGCGAACGTCTGAAATTATTACATTTTTCTCGTAAAATATCTTAAAAAATCAATAATTTATTTTAAACATGGCGACAATACCAGCTGCTGCATGCAAAATAATATTAACACTATCTGTGAGTGTGCTGCGAATTTCATCGGTTAGACCGACTTTTAGTTCACGTGTATTTCCATCAATGGCACGTACACGATCCATGTAATTCGGATCGATTTTCTGTAGCAGAACAAACAATGGCCCCGAATACAAATCGCACAAACGTTCCATTGCGGATTTTCCTTTCTTTGGACGGGTCAACACGTACAACATTTTTACTTCGCATCTTTGAAAAGAGAGATACACTCGTTCAAATAAAATGAATCATTTGATCATCACTTCCATTGCACTTACCGCAATAGTTTCTCCACGTATATTTGTCCAAGGAATCCCGTGCCACCGGTTAATAGAATCACTTTTCCGCGATAAAAATCACGCATTGGCGTTGAATCCGGAATTGAATCATCAGACCAAAAATCATTTATTTCAAGTGGCGTTAATTTATTCATTTTACACTTCGGACTTTTCACTTTTTATTCGTATTTAGTTTAAATGGTATGTATGGCCACTTTGGCGAACAATTCAATGTTCACTGATGGTTTGATTGGAACTAAAAACAAAAATCAGTATTTCAAGTCGAATGGTATCGATCGATGCATTATTTAATCACACATTCCCCACATTTGTCAGTGACCTTCGGCACTAGCATGTAACAAAACCACATTACAATTTTGAAGAGACGACGACACAATATAAATTTACATAAAATCAAATGCAAATGTGCACTATATAATAATAAAACAGGTCATCGAATTCCAGTTCGAATACACGGAATGAACGAAAACTGGATTTTTTACATTTTTTCGCACCAAATTAGTTTGCGTACGATTGTAATTTCGCATTTAGAGAACAGTAAAGTAATAGTCAATGTAAATCATCGTTCTACTCTAATTAATGTAAAAAAATGACACTTAATTGCGAAGAATTTTTGTCTCTTTATCAAGCATTCAATAGCAATAATAACAAAAGTCAAATTAATCACTCGAATCAGTCGCAATTTTACTGATCGATGAAGAACGTTTACTGAACTCCGTATAGTCGGAATGTTTCTACACCATTGATTCGTATGCGCATTTTTAACAACCAAATATTTCTCTTTCTTTTTATCGTTTTCCCTTTCTCTTTCCCCACTTCTTTCTATTTTTTTCGTTCTCTGTATGTGTTTGTCATCAATAATGCAAGAGTTGCAAATTAAGACACCAAATTCAACCGAAAATAAAATGTTTTACATCCGTAAGATGAACTTTTTCGCACTGTGATCCACAACATGCATTTAATACGTATCTTTTACTTAAATTTGAATTCACGAGAAAACTGAATGTGACATCGCTTTTTCAATACAAATAATTTTTGAAACACTTTTACTTTTCCGCACACCCACTGTGTGCAGTAAAGTATTGCAATCACCCCAAAATTTTGAAATCGCTAAAAATCGGTTTTTACGCGTTTTGGGTAAAGAGAAGCAACGCAAAAAATCAATGGGTAATTTGTTAGCACGATAACTCTTCTCAGAGAAAAGTGAATCCAAATCTGATTTTACAGGGTTATTGGGGGATTGCGAAGAATTGGCTGGTATTGTTTTTGAGCAATATTCGTGCATCGGTGTATACATGGTGTACCCAAGGGGTTACCCCTTAGGGGTATGGTATGTAAAAATGTGTTAATTTGATAAATTTTTCCCCATAGGCGTAAATCAAAGTTTGAAATGTGTAATGCGGGGTTTTTTGGCACGAGAAAACGCAAATCCGACATTAGATTTGAGATAAAATCAATACTCGATACAGTTTCTTTGAAAAAATCACAAAAAATTTAATTGTTGTATGAAAGTCATGCCTATATGATATTGTAATAAGATATGTATGTTGTACGAATAATTCATGGTGTGGATGTTCATCTTACGGATGTAAGACATTTTATTTAAGCAACAATTTTATTTTATACCGAAATGGTATAAATACATTTCACACTTTTTTCTACTGCAAGTATTTCAAGCATATGCACGTTAATTTGATGAAGAAATCAAATTTGTTAACTCTCACCTGGGTGATAAAATCCAAATGAAAAGTCAGAGCGAGTGATATGAAAAAACTGATTTTATTAAATTTTCATTCGGTATTTATATGGTTTACAATCAGGAAATAGGTTAATACATAAAAAAGTAGTAATATATAGTAAAATAGTTCAATGTTTTATATAGTCAGCAAAATAGAATAGGAAAAGATACATAAACAAATATAGGAAATGTAAAGTGAATGACAAACAAAATCGATAAAAGTATTGTAGAATTCAAACAATATTCTCACATACATTTGAATTAGAAATGGGCTTTATTTCACACATACAGTGCGAAAAACAAAACATTTAAAGTATTTAAATTTGAATGAACTGGTTACGACCATAAAGGGTGGTCAAAATTGATCTTTAGCCGTTGTTATTTCCCAAATTAATGTCAGCACCATTTCTTCTCAATAGTTCAACTACATGATCATGACCTGTGGAAGTAGAGATATTTGTAAAATTTTACGGTTTGAAAGAAGTGGCATCAAATTTCACTTTCAATTGTATTACCATTTTGTGATGCCAACGTGAAAGGCGTCGCTCCTTGGTTATTTTGACTGTTAACATTAGCCCCATTTTTAAGTAACAGTTCCACAATTAGGTTAAAACCTACGAAAATGATGTTGATATATAAATATTTTTGAACATTTGTTAGGTATACAGAAAATTGATTGAATTTCAAATTACCTTCCTGTGCGGCTGCATGTAATGGTGTAAATCCGCCCATGTTTATAATATTCACATCTGCACCTTTTTCGACTAATATTTCAACAACACGTTCATGACCTTAATTAAAAATAATTATATTCTCATATACATTTCAATTGGAATTGGGCTCTTTTTGCAATATTGCGTAAGCGAAAAAAAAACATTGAACATATTTAAATTTTTGATTACCCTTAAATGCGGCCATGTAAATTGGACTTTCGCCGTAGTTATTTTTCAAACTAATGTCAGCACCATTCTTTATCAACAGTTCAACCACATCATCTCGGCCTGTGGAAATACAGATTAAAAAATTTGTAACATTTTGATGGTTTCAGAAGTGACATCAATTTCAATTGTAGTACTTAATTGCGAAGCCACAATCAAAGGTGTCGTTTTTTTGTTACTTTGACTGTTAACATTAGTCCCATTTCTAAGTAACAATTCCACAATTCGCTTATGACCTACGACAACGATTTTGATATAAATATTTTGGAACGTTTGTTATCTATAGAAAATTGATTGAGTTTAAATTACCTTCCTGAGCAGCTGCATGTATTGGTGTAAATCCGTCCTTTGTTCTAATGTTTACATCTGCACCTCTTTCGATTAATATTTTAACGACACGCTCATGGCCTTAATTTGATAAAAATATTCATATTCTTACATACATTTCAGTTCGAAATTGGCTTTCTTTGCAGTATTTTTTAAACGAAAAAAAATATTGAACATATTTTAATTTTTGATTACCCTTAAATGCGGCCAAATAAATTGCACTTTCTCCGTAGTTATTTTTCAAACTAATATTTGCACCACTCCTTATTAACAGTTCAACTACATCATCTCGGCCTGTGGAAATAGAGATTCAAAAATGTATAACATTTTAACGGTTTGAAAGAGGTCATATCAATTTCAATCGTACTACCTTTGAACGAAGCCAAAATCAAAGGCGTCGCTCCTTCGTTATTTTGACTGTTGGCATTAACCCCATTTTTAAGCAACAAATCCACAACTCTCTCATGGCCTACGAAAATGGTTTTGATACAAATATTTTGGATCTTTTGTTTTGTACTGAAAATTGATTGAATTTCAAATTACCTTCCTGAGCAGCGATAATTATTGGTGTAAATCCGTCCTTTTTTCTAATGCTTACATCTGCACCTCTTTCGATTAATATTTCAACGACACGCTCATGACCTTAATTTGATTTTTAAAAAAAAATCGTATTCTTACATACATTCCAATTTTTTTGCAATATTATGTAAGCGAAAAAAAACATTGAACATATTTAAATTTTTGATTACCATAAAATGCAGCAATGTAAATTGCACTTTGTCCGTGGTTATCTTTTAAATTAATATCAGCACCATATCTTATCAACAATTCGACTACATTAGATGGACCTGAAGGAAAAGAGATTCAAACATTTATAGCATTTTGACGGTTTGACAAAAGTGATATCAATTTCAACTGTACTTCCTCTGTATGAAGCGTAAATCAAAGGCGTTGTTCCTTTGTTAGTTTGACTGTTGACATTGGCCCCATTTTTAAGCAACAGTTTCATAACTCCCTCATGACCTACGAGAAATGATTTTGATACAAATATTTTGGAACATTTGTTATCTATAGAAAATTGACTGAATTTAAATTACCATTTTTAGCGGCTACATGTATTGGTGTAAATCCGTCCTTGTCTATAATGTTTACATTTGCGCCTTTTGCAAATAATATTTTAACGACACGATCGTGACCTTAATTTGATAAAAACAATTCATATTCTTCCATTTATTCTAATTGGAAATGGGCTTTCTTTGCAATATTGTGTAAGAGAAGAAAAAACATTGAACATTTATTTATATTTTTGATTACCATTAAATGCGGCCATGTACAATGGCGATGATCCATCGTTACTTTGACTGTTGACATTAGCCCCATTTTTAAGCAACAAATCCACAATTCCCTCATGACCTATGAGCAATGTTTTTGATATAAATATTTTGGAACTTTTGTTGTCTATAGAAAATTGATTTTAATTCACCTTTTTTAGCGGCTGCATGTATTGGTGTAAAGCCGTCGTTTTCTGTGACATTTACATTGGCACCTTTTGCAATTAATATTTCAACGACACGCTGATGACCTTAATATAGTAAAAATATCATACAATTAGAAATGAACTTTCTTTCACACGTACTGTGCGAAAGAAAACATAAAAAAAAAAATAAAAAAGTTTGTTACCATTAAGAGAGGCTGCATAAATTGCATTTTGGCCGTAGTTATCTTTCAAATTCATGTCACCACCATTCCTTAACAACAGTTCAATTACATTATCTCGACCTGTGGAGATTCGAAAATGTATAACATTTTGACGGTTTGAAAGAAGTGACATCAATTTCAATTACACTACCATATTGCGAAGCAAAAATCAAAGGCGTCTTTCCTTCGTTATTTTGACTGTTGACATTAGCCCGATTTTTAAGTAACAGTTCCACAGTTCGCTTATGACCTACGAAAATTATTTTGATATATAAATATTTTTAACATTTATTATAGAAAATTAATTGAATTTCACATTACCTTCCTGTGCAGCTACATGTATTGGTGTAAATCGGTCCTTGTCTGTAATGTTTACATCTGCACCTTTATGAATCAATATTTGAACGACACGGTCATGACCTAAATTAAAAATAATCATATTTTCATATATTTTTATATATTTTTTTGCAATATTTTGTAAGCGAAAAAAAATTGAACATATTTAAATTTTTGATTACCATAAAATGCGGCAGTGTAAATTGCACTTTCTCCGTCGTTATCTTTTAAATTAATATCAGCGCCAGTTCTTATCAACAGTTCAACTATATCATATCGACCTGACGAAATAGAGATTCGAATATTTTAAAAATGTTTACGGTTTGAAAAAAGTGACATCAATTTCAATTGTTCTACCCTTGAACGAAGCCATAATCAATGGCGTCGTTCCTTCGTTATCTTGAATGTTGACATTGGCCCCATTTCTAAGCAATAATTCCACAATTCGCTCGTGGCCTACAAAAATGATTTTGATAAATTGCAATAAAGGCTGGATAAATTGCATTTTTGTGTTGCTTTTTGATTACATTCAATAGAAGCTGCTAACAGCGGACTATTGCCGTCGTTATTTTTCCAATTAATGTCAGCACCACTCCTTATCAACAGTTCTACTACATTAAATTGACCTGAAGGAAAAGAGATTCAAACATTTTGCTATTCTTTGTATTTGGTGTGAAAATATGTATGAAATTACCGTATTCAGCAGCTTTAACTAAAGGTGAGGAGCCATAACGATTTCTGATATTCACATCCTTTCCATTTCTTATTAGTTCTTCGATTATTTGCACATCACCTGCGTAGAGCGATAAACGGTTTCAAACGTATTGTCCAGAAATGTTTAAGGATAAAATCAAAATAAATCGCACAGATTTTCATTGCTTACCATGTTGAACAGCGTTGTGAAATACTTCCCATGGTTCTCTGCAGTGAAGGTTTTTTTAAAGATCATGAATAAATGAAAACGGTGTTTCAGTTATTTATTGGTTGTAAAAACACTTGTACTTAGTAATTACTACTTACTCGTTTTCGGCTCGCCTCAATCGAGTGACTAGAATTGATCAAAATTCGTTAGTTTACAATTGATATGCATTCAATTTCATCAGAAATTCACTTGGGGTGAACCTCCATAATTTATTAGGTAAAATTAGAACGATACTAGAAATATTAGAAGAAATTGGAATCGTTTTAAACAGGAGTTGAAAGTGGTTGAAAGCAACTGGAAGTCACGAAATAATCAACTGTCTGCTATTTTATTCAATTTTTCTTTACTTAATTTTATATTTTTTGTTCGCAATTGGTGTTGTCTGCAAACGTTCTTTCGAATAACTAGAATTGATAGCAAAAGCAATTTGAAAAATTTTTGAGCACAAAAACGAGTTAAATTCATTGATTTTTGTATGATCGAAGTACGTTGAAAGACGAAAAACACAAAAAATTAAATTAAATTTAAAATATCATCGTAGCACGACAACAATTTTTGAAAATTCACCAATCATAAAAAAATGGTAGCCGATTTAATATAATCGGACGTCTAGAAAATGGAGCCTAAAGCGATCTTTTCCTGTAAGCAAAAATATATTCTTTTTTTGAGACTAACGAAAAATAGTACTTTTTTCTTAGGCGGTCATATCATTTTCATATTTTCCCACAAACGAACAAACGAACGATAAAAAAATTTGTATTTCTACGAACGAACGGACAAAATAACAACATTTTTTGTTACAAAAGAACGAAAGAACTTTCTTTGACAGCCTTGATAGCTAATAATTTTCTTGTTGAATGAAATTTACCTTGACGGCCACTGGTCACAAAGACAGCAAAGTATAGAATGAAGACAGTTAATAACTTCATTGTTCAAGGTAAAAGGTAGATGAAAAAAACAAAGCAGTATGACCTGAAATGAGAAAAGAAAATATTTTGTTTAACTCAATCTTTTCTGGATGGATTCGCGTCGTCTTTTCATTCGTTTTATTCGATTTGCAATAAGAATTTTACGCATCAAAATAATTTGGGTATGACATTTAAGACTAGAAAGTGGTACCCATATGATTCATTTGCGGAGTAGTTTTGACGATGGCGGGACTGTGCGGAGATTGGCGGAGATGACATACAAGCTCTGTGTATTTGAATGCTATCACCGCCGAACTCCGCACAGTCCCGCCATCGACAAAATTTCTCCTCAAATGATTTATATGGGATACAATGGCACAAACCAAAAATATTCAATAGTTAAATTGAATTTTTGATGATTTAAAAGAGATAGCTTGAATAGTTTTAGGTTTGAACCACAACTGTATTGTTTTGACGGAAGTTATTTAATACACTCGAATAAACATAGTGAATCGCAGAATATCAAAGATTTTTTTTTTTTTTTTTTTTCAAATAAATTGATAATAATAATGTCACAATATTCTTATTTTGTGTTTTTAATTGCGTTTTACAGTGTTTGTTTACACAATTATGTCATATTCATACACAGTTCACAGTGATAAGACATTTTCGGTTATTGTAAGGTCAAGCAAGATTAAGTTATACTTCTTTTTCTTCTCTGTTCTGGAAAATGATACGACTTTCTAATTTGCAAAAGCAAGAATGAAAATAAAATTTTAATGAAACCAGACAGTATATTTAGCTGTTGTCATCTGGATATTACAGCTCATCTGGATATCGTCAGCAGATGATACGAAGTGAAAACAATAGAAATGTGAGCCAAATTTGCACCGGACACAAACAGTTCACCGGTTTCACCAATTTTGACTGGTTTCATTTTATCATTGAGAATATAAACGTTAGAATTGAATATGAGAGAACCGATCGGAATATCTCTGTACTTGAGTAATTGCTCTATTCCACAAAATACGTCACATCGCTGATTTCAGTTGATCCGTGAGAATTGCACAACAAATATCGGTCTACAAAAAAATAGGCTTTAGTTCTTAAATCAAAGTGACCGAAAAAATTCAATCTTCGAAATTATTATACGAAAATAATTTACTCGTTAGTAATGGTCCCCAGATTTCGAAGATTGAGTCTATAAATGTCAGTGCCGTTTTAAATATGCAAATTGATTCAGTTGATGAGTATGGAAATGTTTCGAACTGCCATCGCAATCGATTCATTAGTACTCTATGCGGCAATTGAACGCCTAAAAATACAATAAAATAACAAAATTTAAATCAAATTAAATGATCATTGGTATTGTCGTTGTTTGCCGATAATGTCATGCATTCATTAAATGTTAAACTGACGACAT